AAATCATCCAAACAAACGTGCATCACCCGTTTTACAATGGAATCTGAATTCATAGCTTTAGATAAGGCCGGTGAAGAAGCTGAATGGCTCCGGAATTTCTTGGAAGATATTCCATTTTGGCCCAAACCTTTGGCACCTATTTGTATACATTGTGATAGTCAAGCGGCAATAGGCAGGGCAGGGAGCGTTATGTATAACGGAAAATCTCGTCATATACGACGGAGACACAATACCGTTAGACAACTACTCTCTAGTGGTGTTATCACAATTGACTACATAAAGTCAAGAGATAACGTGTCGGATCCACTTACAAAAGGCCTATCTGGAGAGGCATTTGAAAGATCATCAAAGGGAATGGGGTTAAGGTCTAGGACAAGTCATCATGACGGTATCTCTACCTAGCAGACTGGAGATCCCACGAGCTAGGTTCAAAGAGATCAAACAAAGTTATGAATGACGGTTCAACATTGTCAAATAACTCAACCCATTCTCGTGATGAAGACAATGTTCAGAAATCGAGGTAAAGCATTAAGGCTTTTTGATGAGTCAACAAAGCTTAAAGGTTTTTTAATGATTTGCTAAGTCTGGCAGGATATGACCAGATAGTGTGTCTATAGGATTACACGTTTAGAAATCACCTATGTGAGTGTGAAGTGTAAGCCGCTTCAAGGGGAATGAAAGTAAATGCCCATTCTCTAAGCACTCATGAAACCAGACGGTGTTCATGGCTGAAACGAACACAACCGTGAGAACCATAGATGGATAATGATTGATTGTGTGACTTATATTGTCTAAGTATACAACAAAACTCGACGGTTCAAAGATATCAAATCTACCGATTGACCGAGTATATCCGATATAAGTTCACTACGAAAAGTTCAAAGGGAAACCTACTTATCCAGATGCAATTAATTCTTGCATGTAAAACACACACGTGTCCGTGCATTTCTTTATTTTATAGCCATTCCCCATTCATGTGGGGGATTGTTGGGATTTTAAGCTTGTGTAGTTTAAAGAGGGTGAATGAGAAATGGAGAAAAAATAAAATATTTGAGTTTTCCTTGGGAAAGGGACATTTTTCCATATCGGAGGAAGAAAAGGCTTTTGATGGGTATATATATAATTGCTCTTCTTCTAGCTCTTAAAGAGTTAAGAAAAAGGCAAGCCTCGCGCCGTCGTCGTCGTTGCTCGCTCGGCTCGGCTTCAGCTACGGCTACGGCTACGGATTCGGATTCAGATTCGAATTTGGTCAAAGATCGATTGATTGATTAATCTTTTTGGACAATATTCCTTTCAATTATTTAATTAATTAATTAAATAATTAACGAAAAATTCAATCCGGAATAACCCATGACCCGCGACCCGGTTCGGTCAGGCCCGTTTTCTTTCCCGGATTATTTTAAATATTTTTTTTCCGCAATATTTCAAACACCCCTTTTCCAACAGCCATAGATGTTTCTGAAAGGTTGCAAACCTTTTCAAAAACATTGCCATCAACTCTATAAATAGAGTTTGAATCCCAGAATCTTTCCTTACGAAATTTTCTGAGCTTCTTCTTCTTCTTCTTCTGCACAATATTTTTCAGTGTGTTTTACGACTATTGAGTGGTTCGCAGTTCATCAGAGTTTTGGTACCAATACACTGGTGAGTTAAATCGTTCTATCGTGGGAGGATATATTCCAGCACCTCGGGTACTTGAGGGGAATAATTTCCTTAAGGACACACTATGTATTTAGTGGGCTCGATTTATTCCTATACTATTTTTTTTATTTATTTTTCAGAATCTATTTCGTTAAAAAAATATTACTAACTTCCTGTTTTATTTTTTTTCCAGAAAGTTTAATTGTTTATTACAGCAATACAGAATAATAACAACTCTTGTGTATGTCTCGCATATTGACTCTTATTTATTTAGAATGACTACGAAATACTCGTCATAACGTCATTTTCAAAAATGCAGATATCATTTTTAGTTGTTAAAGCATTAATATAGGCGTAAACTTAGCCATAGCAATCTAAGGTCAATTGTGTTGGATTTTTTCGATGTGGGTCGCGGGTCGTTCCATGCTGACCCGATCCATTTTTGAAAAGATAAAATAAAAAAATCTCTTATGAGAAGTTACTCCACACCATAAATTTGTGGGAACATATTCTACATGGTTATTTGGGTGGGGAATAATTTTCTTTAGAACTGCTTTCTTCCTTAACTCTGAATAAAAAGGGAACAATACGTTCTCTTCAAAGACACAAGAAAAAACACAGAGAACTCTTCTCCTTTCTTTTCAAAAAAAAAAAACCCACGGAGGTCACTTAGTTTATGGAATCAAAAAAATTTATTTCCAAAGTGAAATAGAATCGGCGTGGAGTAATTTCTGTCACACAAATTTCAACGATCTTCCGCAACTGTTAACAGGTAGACAAATTCGATGTCCCTGTTACTATTAAATCATTATTGGTATTAGAGCCTTTGAAGTGTGTTCTATTTAGATGAATACACAATTGATTTAATGAGTAATAATTTTATTACATCGTTGATTAACAGAGTTCGAATGAACCTGTTGTTCGCAATTTGTGTGAAAAACTATCCTTGCCCTAATAGTGTTTCCTGATTAGATGACTTATCTTTACTGATAATTTGAAGAGAAAATTGAAACTCATCTAGTTGTAATATGATGGATGAGAGCCTTGTTTGCTGTGTTGTTGTATATTGAATTTTCTTTTTTTCTTAAGAAAAAGAACAAGTAATAATCCGAATCGAAATATCGGCGTTCGGCATAAAATTTTACGCCTCAAAACTTGACCAAGTACTGTTTTTTTTTCTCTGTGCTAGTGTAGAATCATAACGAAATTATGAGAATTTTTTTAAAGGTTATCAAATCATTGTTTTAATGATTTTATGTAACCTTGTTTTTTTTTCCTTTCACTGTTGGATAACTTTTGAACATGGAAAGCAAACACAGTATTTAATTCTAGTTAAGACATAGTTGTTGGCATTGTTGGAAACTTTAATTACTTGCGATGTTTTGGCGTTGTTGCCATAAATTGATAGGAACTGTGTAGTGAAGACAAAATACTGTCTAACAAAGAAACTGTGCATGCTATTTTGTGAATTTCTTTTGAAGTGTTCGAAATCATGAATTTTCTTTTCTGATTGGATGGGGCCTTTAAATTGAAACTGAGAGAACTAGTACTGGAATTGAAATTGCTTTCATCTCTTCGGTTGGAATAAAATTTGTTCCATATTGTTTTTGTTTGAAAGATTTTAAAAATGTCTTCATAGCAAGGGCACTAGATGTTAAAGTGAATATATTACTCTATGAAGATGCACTAACTTCTGTGATTAAAAGTACTGAAGACTTTAGTTTTGCAATTATTTAAAGTCTTATTTCTTTTGGTTCCAATATACGAAATTAAAGAGGAGAACAATGGCTATGACTTTCAAAGTCATTATTTCCGTTGTGTGGTTTTTAGTTGTCTCCACTTGACTTCAATGTGAATCTGTAGGAAATAACTATACCACTGGCTATGTAGACTTACACACATATTCTTTATGTGCTTCTCTGTATATTTTAATATTAAGAATACTAGTCTTAGTCCCAATTATCCCTATTCTTCCGCAAGTTAATGTGATATATGTTGTCAAAATGATTGTACCCATTCTTATTATTTTTTTGGTTCCATTTCAGACATGACTGAATAGGGACAAACTCGAATTACTCCAAATGGGAGTTCTCAAAGTCGAGGAAGAGGACAACGTAGAAGGATATGTCGTCGTAGGACTTATTTCTATCATGATTCAGACTCGGAGCCTGAAGTCATCAGGAATATCCCAAGAGTGAGGTAAAATGAGTTAAGGGATCGAATGACTGAATAAAAGGAAAGAGAAAAGAAATTTAGGGAGTTTAAAGAATTAAAAATGGTCCCTAATGCTTCCATTCCTGAACATGTATATATTTTTCAGTTAAAAAGAATTGAATTGTCTAATTACATGGAGATTACAGATTGGGAAGCGTTAGCTATTTTAGCGAACTTTCTTCGAGAGCCTTGGGGTTTGACCTAGCACACATTTTAGTGTATATGTGCAAGCGTTAGTATTCAGTTGGTATATGTATGTATTCAGTTAGTATTCAGTTGGTATATGTATGTCCTAGCAAACATGTAAATCGTTTATGTGTTTTATTTTAATGAAATTTAATTTTTTTTGTTGTTTGTCTCACTAGTTACATGTATTATCAATTATTTTGCTTTGTAATTGATTGAGACTTGAAATGAAGCACACACTAAGAAGTGATTTTAATAATAATTAAAATATTTAAATATAGATGATGAATGAAAACATAGTGACCTTTCGATTTTATACTAAATATAAAATTAATATTATATTTAATTTGTTTGAGTGTGTAATCACATGCATAGATTGACTAAATTATATATTGATGAGTTAAACTTGTAATATTGTCTCTAATAATAGACATGGTATCGAAAAGTACCATTGCTGACTTGAACAAGGTTGACAAACTGAATGGTGAAAATTACGACATCTGGAGGCGTAAAATGTAGTATGTACTCGAAGAGCAAGATGCTCTTAAAAGTTTTAACCATGCGATGAGTCACCCTGAGAAAGGTAACACTACCCAATACAGGAGGGATCTGAAAACTTACAATATCTGAAAAAATAAAAATTCCACTGCACGTGAAATTATTGTAAGTTTAGTTGCTGATGATCTCATCCACGAATATGAGCAATATCCTACTGCTCAATCCATGTGGACATATTTAAGAGAGGCATATGGCGGTACAACTGTGGCTCGCCTTAGACAACTGACAATCAATTTTGACATGTACAAAAAGCGTCATGCTTATAGTATCAAGCAACATCTAAGGGTGATGTCAAATATGATTGCTCAACTCTAAAGTGGTGGTCATGTTCTCTCTAATGAGAATCATGCTCAGGAAGTGATTTGGTCTTTTCCTAATAATTGGGAACATCTGAAGGTTAACGTGGCCCACAATGATAGCATCAAAACTTTTGTTAATATTGCCCGTCATGTGGAGCTTGAAGACGAGCGACTTGGTTCTCCTAAAGTTGTACCTAGCGCCTTTGTGGAAGAATCAAGTGGTACAAATAGTTCAAGTTTCAAGCACAAGAGAAACTAGAAAATAACAGAAAGGGTAAGGAGATCAGAGAAGGATCCTCCAAGAAAAGAAACAAGCCAAATTCCAAGAAAGAAAAACGGTTCTACAAGTAGAAAGACAAGAGTAAGATGAAGTGCTACAATTTCTAAGCTCCAAGGCATTTTGCTTATGAGCTCACTGAGCCAAAAAAGGTAGCATTTCAAAACACATCTCTAAGATCTATATATGTTTCTAGTACTGTTTTACTAACTAAATCTTATCCTATGTGGATTGCAGACTCAGGGGCCATCCACCATGTGAGCCATGATAGAGAAGTGTTTATAGAGATTCGTCGAGTTTCACCTAGATCAAGGCATGTATATGTGAGAAATAATGCAAATCTTGAAGTCAGAAGGATATGCAGTAGCAGAATGGACATGCGTGGTGGACGATCTTTGATGTTGCATGACATCCTATATGTTCTAGAGATTTGACAAAATATAGTATCTATGTCTGTTCTTCTAGATTTAGATTTCAATTTGAACTTTCGTCACAATGGTCTTAGAATTACTCTAGACACTGTTTTTTTTATAATTTTGGACATTATTATGATGGTTTTATTGTGTTAGATTGTAATTCTTCTACGTATAACTACTATATTGACCATTGTGTTATGGCATATTATTCTAGTAATAATGGTGTTGATGTTATTACAAGTCATGCAAGATTAGGTCACATATGGCAGGATCGAATGAATAATTTGGCTAAGGAAGGATATTTGGGTTCTTTCTCCAAAATTAAATTGCCAACTTGTGAAAATTGTCTTGCCGGAAAGATTACATGTAGAGCATTTAGAAAGGCTAAGAGAGCTGATTTTCTATTGCAATTAATCTATTATGATATCTGTGGTCCAATGAATGTGAGGGCTAGGTCTGGTGCTTTATATTTTATTACGTTTATTGACAATTTCACACGCTTTGGTTATGTCTATTTGATTTCTCATAAATCTGAAGCACTTGAATGCTTTAAGAAATATTTGAATAAAGTTGAGAATCAATTAGACAAAAGGATTAAGAACTTAAGAACCAATAGATGACGCGAATATCTATCAAAAGAATTTGATGAATTGTGTAACGAAAAGGGCATCACCAGGCAGTTAACTATTCCTTACACACCTCAGCAAAATAGTGTAGCAGAAAAGAGGAATATAACACTATTGGACATGATAAGGTCCATGATGGCGCATACAAATTTACCTATCTCGTTTTGGGAAGATACGTTATTAACTGTAGCCTACATATTGAATGAAAAGACTTCTAAATAAGTTTCTTCCACTCCTTATGAGCTTTGAACTGGTCATAAACCAAACTTAAATGGTTTACGACCTTGGTGTTGTGCTATATATGTAAAAGATTCTTTTAACAAGTCTGATAAATTAGGCCCAAATGGCAAGAAATATATCTTTATAAGTTATTCAGAATACTCCAAAGGGTATATGTTCATAGGTAAAATAGAGGATGGAAGTGTTACTAAGATTGAATCACGACATGCCACATTTCTAGAAAATAATTTTCCAAAGAAAGGCGAGGTAAAGAATGGAAAGTCTCTTTATGAAATATTAAACTCAAATAGTCAGCAAGTGTCTTATGAAACGATTGATAATCAAATTAATCAGGATCATGTTCTTGATCCGAGTGGGAGTGGGAATTCTCAATCCCAAAATCCTTCTGACGGACCTGAATTTCAACTACGAAAGAATACCAGAAAAAATATACCCAAATGTACTTATGAGATTTAATATTATGTTTTCTTGGTATCTCCCGTAGAAATGGATGAGCCAAAGTTTGTGACTGAGGCTTTATCAAACCCTGAAAAAGATGAGTAGATGAAAGCAATAAAAGAAGAATTAGAGTCTATGAAAACCAACAAAGTCTGGAATCTAGTTGACCTTCCGCCTGGGCGTAGAGCCATTGGGAACAACTAGGTTCTCAAAGTTAAACGCTACGAGTATGGGATAATAGAAAGATACAAGGCACGATTGATGGCTAAAGGCTTTACTCAAGAAGCTAGAATGGATTATGAGGAAATATTTTTACCAGTTGTGAAATTTACCTCAATTAGCTTACTTTTGGCTATTGTTGCACGTTTGGATTTGGAATTACACCAAATGGACGTGAAGACAACTTTTCTCAATGGATAACTAAACGAAGAAATCTACATGGAACAACCTGTAGGCTTCATCGTCAAAGGCGAAGAAAAGAAGGTTTGTAAATTGAAAAGATCTATTTATGGCATGAGAAAATCTTCAAGGCAATGGTATTTGAGATTTCACAAGGAGGTGATCTCGTATGATTTCACCATGATCAATTAAGACCATTGTATTTATGTGAAGAACTCCAATAGAATGTTTGTAATTCTTTCTCTTTACGTGGATGATATTTTATTGGTCTAAAACAATCTGGAGTATTTGAAAACTATCAAGTCATGGATTTCAAAGTCATTTGACATGAAAGATATGGGTAGGCAGACTATATCTTTGGAGTTAAGATCCAAAGAGACCGTTTCAAAAAGTTATTGAGTCTAAAATTTTGGAGCGTTTTCGCATGTGTAACGACCTGATCAGTCATTTTGAGCATTTACATTTCGTTCGGTGGTTTGAGGTCTTGACTAGATTTGTATGATGTATTATGAATTGTGTGTATCGTCAGTTTTGGTCTTCGGGTGATTCGGGATTGATTTGAAATAATGATTCTCAGCTAGGAAGCTTTAAATTAGAAGAGTTGACCTAGTTTGACTTTTGAATATTTGACTTCGGATCAGAGTTTTGATGGCTCAGATAGGTCTGGATGATGATTTTGAACTTGGGCGTATGTCCGGATTGGCGTTTGAATGTTTTGCCCGGATTGACATTTGGATATTTCTACAAGGGTTCAACACTATTTGGCAAAAGTTGGCAATTTGAAGATTTGGAATGTTCATAAGTTTGATCGGGAGTTGACTTTGATAATATTGGATTCATATTGTTGTTCCGAGAGTTGGAATATGTTCTTTATGTCATTTGAAACTTGTGTGCAAAAGTTGTGGTCATTCTGAGTTGATTTGATATGGTTCGGCATGAGTTTTGCAAGTGAAAAGTTCAAAAGTTCATTAAGTTCGATTTGAGGTGCGATTCATGATTTTGATGTTGTTATATGTGATTTGAGGCTTCGAGTGGGTCAATGATATTTTTTGGAATTTGTTGGTATGTTAGAATGGGGCCCCGAGGGGTTCAGGTGTGTTTTAGATTGATTTTGGACCATTTCGATGTTGCATGCATTGATAGTTTCTACTATAATATGATACCTCTGGTGTTCTTCGCGATCGCGAAGGTCCAACCGCGATCACGAAGGTCTAGCCGTGATCGCAACGCGTGTCTTAGTCTGCTGGTAGATTTGTTCATCGTAGACGTGGTATATGGAAGGCGTTCGTGAAAGGTTGAGATGATTGTTATCCTCGTTCGAGCCTTGGATCATGCATTTGCGTAGGAGAGCTGGGAGCCAGAGGAATTGTCTTCGCGTTTGCAAAGTCATTGCCATGTTCGCGAAGGTTTGATCCGGTTATGTATCGCATTTGCGAGGACTGTTCCTCGAATGTGAAGGGTAATTTTGTGGTCGACTGAGTTTGTGCTTCGCGAACCTGATACCTCTTCCACGTTCGCGAAGGGTACCCCTGGAGCAGTGTATAAAGTACTATATTTCGAAGGTCTTGGTCATTTTATCATATTTTGAGTTATGTAGCTCGGATTTAGGCGATTTTGGAGGCAATTTATATCACATGGATTTGGAGGTGTTTTCCACTCGGTTTTGATTATATTCCATGATTTCATCTTCGATTTTGGCATTTGATTGAAGATTTTGATATTTGGCTATAAATGTATATTTTTAGTGCATTGTTTACCTTAAATTGTAAAGTTTTAATGATTAAATGTGTGACGTTTGAGCTTAATTATATCGTTTTTATGTTTAGGATTGTTGAGGGACAAAAATACATGAAGGTTACACACATGGATGTTAAATATACACAAAAGAGCATGATAAGGTTAAAAATTAGACCAG